TTGTAAATTTTAGCACAATTTAATAAATTATGCTAGAAGCAATTAGGAGATTTTTCATGTAATGCAGATACATTTCAATTAATATTTTATTAATTTTTAATTTTTTAATATTTTTAAGATTTGTGCAATAGGCCTTCTTTCCCCTGGCTGCCAGCACCAGTTTTCCTTTGGCACCCGGGACCCAGACCTTCACTCTGGCCACCGCCGTCCATCTTCGCTCTGGACACAGTCTTCACTGCGGCTGGAGCCTTCAGTCTTTGCTCCTCGCTCCAGTGGGAGTCTTCAGTCTCCGGCCAGAGCTGCTCCTGTAGCTCCTTCCGCCCCTCCCCCTCCCCCTCATAGCTTGATCGCTGCTTCACCTGCAGACCTCCCCGAGGGGCTCCTGGGTCGCGGGGTGCCGCCTTGCCTGCGGCCCAGCTTTCTGATCCAATCAGGATCACGGGCCTCAGGCAAGGCAGCTCCTGGGTCCCGAGGGGCTGCCTTGCCTGCGGCCCGGCTTTCCGGCGGCTCCTGGGGACGCACACGGGGGCTTGGATGGCGGCTCCTGGTGTCCCGCCCTGCCTGCAGTATGCAAATTAGCCGCCATCTTTGTTGGTGGTTAATTTGCATATCGCGCTGATTAGCCAATGGGAGGCGTAGCGAAGGTACGGTCAATTACCATGTTTGTCTATTATTAGATAGGATAAGTGTTTCCCTGAGTTCTCTGAGTCATTACAGCACATTATCAAATCTAAGGACAAGGTCATGGGAACCCTGATTTACAGCCAAGTTAGACATAAGTGTGAGCCTGTGGACCCACTACTTGTGATTGGCATCTGAAGTGGGGGGCAGGCTTGTGGAACTGAGTCCTTAGCCTGTGGGATCTGCACTAACTCTGGGTGGTATTGTCAGAATTGAATGGTGGGACACCCATTTGGTGTCTGGAGAGATGGAGAATTGGTTGGTGTGGGGAAAACACACATTTGATGTCTGAAGTATTGTGAGTAGAGGAAACAGTTTTCCTTTGGTAATGCCATGTAGCCACCATTACAGTATCATACCCAATAGTTTCACTGCCCTAAAAATCCCCTGTGCTTCACCTACTCATCCCTCTCCTTCCTCCTCTCCCTAACCCCTGGTAACTACTGCTTTTATTTATTTATTTTTACTATATCAATAGTTTTATCTTCTCCAAAACCCCACAAAGTTGGCATCATATAGAATACTGTCTTTTCAGACTGGCTTTTTCAGTAAGCAATATGCATTTAAGGATACTCCATGTCTCTTTGTGTCTTGATAGCTCATAATATGTCATTGTATGAATGTACCACAGTTTGTTTATCCATTCACCATTTTTAAAGAACTTATTGGTTTCTTCCAGATTTGGGCAATTATGAATAAAACTTCTATAAACATTTATGTTCAGGTTTTTGTGTGGACATGTTTTCAACTCATTTGAGTAAATACCAGAAAGTGCAATTGCTTGATAGTATGGTCAAACTATGTTAGCTTCATAGGAAACTGCCAAACTGTCTTCCAAAGTGGCTGTGCCGTTTTCCATTCCCACCAGCAATGAATAACAGTTCCTGTTGCTCCACATTCTTGCTAGCATTTGCTATTATCACTTTTTTTGAATGTTAGCTTCTAATAGGTGACTTATGCTTTTTAAACTGACTCAGTTGGTTTGTTTGTTCAAAATAATCAAGTAGGTTATTTACAGTTTGGCTAAATTAAAAACAGGGAACACCACCTCAAAGCACATCTCAATGTGCAATCTTTCATATTATTGTTGCATCCCAAGGCCCAGAGTCTAAAAAAAAAAAAGGAATGCTTTAAAGAATGTCTAACTAGTTTTTAAAAATATGTTTGCATTGATTTTTAGAAAGAGAAGAAGAGAGAGGGACAGGGATAGAAACATCGATGAAAGAGAAACATCGATTAGCTGCCTCCTGCATGCCCCCTCCAGGGGATCAAACTCTCAACTTAGGCATGTGCCCTGACTGGGAATCGAACCAGCAACTTCTTGATTCATAGGTGGACACTCAACTTCTGAGCCATACCACTGGGCATGTCTAACTAGTTTTAATACTAACTTCAGGGAGAAGTGCTTTTAAAAAGTTGAATTACATTTGATTCATGGAGCTCTTACCCAAATGGTTCATTCAACAACTCTTAAGAGAAACAAAACACAACTAAAATTCTAGAAAGCAACCCAGAGTTTTAAGAGGACAGTGAATTATGAAGGCAATTGAAAGAATCCAGGCTTTAGAATTAGTATCTAGGTTTGAACCACAGTTTTACTTTTAATAAGCTCAGTGAGTTCAACTCATTTATCAAACTTTTCTGAGCCTCAATTACTTGTATGTTAAACTGAGAAAATAATTTGTAGTTGACAGGGTTATTTTGACCTTTAGCGACTATGTCATCTAAAATGCCTGGCACCCAGCCTCTGATAGCTTAATTGCACATCTGTTCTAGCCCCCTTATAGTGCCCTGTTCATGGCACACAATCAATAAAAATTGTCAGAACTTCAATCATCGGAATTCCCTAGTCTGATGAAATAGTTGAAATATTCTATGAACACACATAATAGCTAAGATGTAGTTTCATCTTCTATGTATTTGCTTGTTTTAAATAGGTGGAATGTAATATACACAAGACTGTTGTTTCAAAGAAAATTTGTACATCATAAGACTTTGGCACATGCTAAAATTTCCCGTGGTTTGGGATTTCCCTGGAGTAGCCAGAAATGAGATATTGGCTTCAAAAGCAAACTCATGAAATATGCAATAGTATAGATTCTAGAAACCGACCACTTGGCAGAGCTAAGTTACAGTAATTCATCATTTTGGGGTTGGCAGAAATGTGTATATAGTGACTATAATGTCAAAAACTAATAGCCTGATATTCGCTCTGTCTATTCTCCCTCATACAGCTTTTCTTCTAAAACAGAAGATTGCATTTGTGAATTGTTTTAAATACTGACAGTAACAAATGAAGGCCATAGGTGAAGCATTTAATAAACTTTCCTAGTTTTTTAGGAAGCTATTTGAAAGGGAAGAAATTTACTGTAAGTAACTATGTACAGTAGAATCTCTTTCTTAAGTGTCAAAAGAGGATCAGAGAAGCAGCTCTGAATTCACAATCAATCCCAAAGAAGCTGCAGAGCTGGAGGCAGGTTGGATCCACAAAACAAAACTGGATCCTGGGTCCAGGCAGGTCCCCCTGGAATAGCAGGTTCAAAAGTCTGGCACCAACCACTGTGACAACCTGGCTTGTGCTTTGTTCTTTCCATTTCTAGAAACTCACAGACCCTTGAAGCCTGTCTTTGAACCCCAAGATAAGCACCTCTACTCTTAGAGGCGAGAAATGCAACAACCCCGAGGATGGTACCTTTAAAGGTATGGTTTTCTAAGTGTGTAAATAACTTATTTATATGAAATATTTGGTGGTTAGAAAGAAGTTAATGATAAAAACGGAACTTTTGGAAATTCTTAATAACATATAATCTGATGATTTAAATAAGATTTTGATTGAAAGTGAAGCCATGGGCCTGACCCGTATGGCTCAGCGGTTGAGTGTCGATCCAGGAATCAAGAGGTCACTGGTTGATTCCCAGTCTGGGCACATGTCCGGGTTGTGGGCTTGATCCGCACCCAGTAGGGGGAGTGCAGGAGGCAGCTGATCAATGATTCTCTCTCATCATTGATGTTTCCATCTCCCTCTCCCTTCCTCTCTCTGTAAAAATCAATTTTAAAAAAATTTAAAAAACAAAGAAAGTGAAGCCACGGAATGACTTTTACTCTATATCTGGACAAAGCAGAATTTTCAATCACAGAGTTTTCACTGAGCAATATCATTCTCTCATGTAATTAATTCTCAAAAAGGAGTGGTTTTGGAGGCAAATGTGAAGCCTGATAATAGCCAGCCTGGTAATTAACATCGGCTAGAAACAAAAACCCAAAGCAACACACTATAAAGATGGAATAATAAAAAGAAGTTGGGAATAATGAGGCTGCCATCCAGCATTAATTGATGTTAAAAAGCACTCAGAGTTCCCAGGAGAAAAGAATTATTTAAATGCAAATTTTTATTATTAACATTACTTAAATTGTTGTAATGAGTTTATGAAAATAAGACACCTTGCTAGTTTCATGCATACATAAAACCTAATAAAATTTATGAGCCACATACCAGCAGTGTTATCTTTTGGCATAAAAAGTGGTAAACAAGAGGAAACATTTTTTTTTTAGTCCAAGATCAAATATATTTGGAACAATTTAAAACCACACAAAATGATTATGATGATATTGGGTTTGAAAACTACAGAAACCCTCACATACTTTCATGGGAGACAAAAAGGTCGTATTTTGAAAAGATGTGGATTTTATAGTCATTGAGTCTCTTTCGAGCCTGGGAAGAATGGAAGTACCTTGGGTAGCACATTTTCTGACAGAACACCATGTTGGTTTGCATGCCATATACAAAACGATTCTTTGCAGTTTTACTGCATACTACAACTTAGGGATTTCTTAATATTTTTTTACACCCACTACACCGCTTTAAGTTATCCGAAGAGAAGTGTAATGAATATATTATAAGCTTAGAAAATGGCATCTAAAAGCAACAGAGTGTTCCAATGTGAGTCAAGAAGTCTTGCAGATGATCCCGCATGACTGCTTAATGAATAAATAAAGCTTCTAATACTTAGGAAATTGATGTCAGGTGGGAAAAATTCTAGGAGAGAATATTACTATTAATGGCCATTATAAGATGCCATACGATGAAATCATTAACAATGCTTTGGCATTTATTACTGACATTACTAATGACTTAACTTGTTGGCATGGGTTTTAAAGTGATATTACAGAAATATCATTCCCCAGAGCAGTAAGTTTCTATCTGTATTATGGCATTTGTCACTTGCTACCTTTTATATGTTTATGTACAAGTCTTAGTTCTCCCTGTAGGCCATAATTTTTTGGAGGGTAGGAAGTGTGTTCAATTTATCTTTCATATATCCTTGGTACCCAGCATGTGATTCAGATATACTTGGAGCTCAGGAAATATTAGTGGATGGAATAATCAAGTGCATTTGTTTTCAAGTATAATTCTCAAATAGAAGAAATAGTAAATATTTTTTTAAATTGTGTTTTACATCTTAAATGATCATGAATGGGGAAAATAACAGAAGAAATATATACCAACATGTTAATAGAAATTGTGCTAGAATAGTGGAACTCATCATTTTTTTCCTACTCCAACTTGTTTATAATATGGTTATATTATCTAATAGAAGGAATAAATAACAACAAAATGACACTTAATATTCTACTAGATTAAAAATCACTTTATTAGAATTATGGTGATCGCTCTACCATAATAGTGACACCCTACTCCCCTCACACTCCCCAGCACCACCTGCCTCTCCTTCCCCTTCCTGTCTAGCTGATTGATAATGGAACAGAAAAAAGATGGAAAAAATAAAATTGGAAGGAGTGGGAAGTGGTGATGGTTTAACCCTGAGTGCATTGATTCATCATTTAGAAACACTGAGTGGTCTGATGGGTGGGAAATGCTGGGTCAGGATGCACTGTGGGGCAGAGTGGGCAAAGGCGGGACCAGCCACACTCTAGGGCCATCGGCTCAGATGCCCAGAGACCAAGTAGTCAAGCAGCATTGCAGTGGATCCAGGGTCGACTTAGAGGTCAGAGAGAGGTCAACACACGTCTGCTACTCCGCCATGCATCCCCAGAGCAAGGAGAGAAACACAGGAAGACTGAGGGGTTCATTTTAAATGCTGTTTAAAATGGAAAGAAATCACTTTTAAGTTCTAGGATCTCACGTATTTTCTGTTGTTATGGGGCAGAGAGTGTGAAAGCAGGATGAGATCAATGACCGGTTAAAGAAAAGTGTGGGTAGCAGGTGTCTGATCAATATCTTCTCAATTTATACCAGCTGCCTATTTTATTCATTTTAAAAAATAATCTAACCAACAATTGCTATATACTAGGCACTAGACCAGGGGCGATTTTTGCACAGAAAAATATAATAGAAGTGTGGAGACTGGCTTTAAATGAGGTCAGAAGAGCTCCCAAACCATACATTTTTTGAGAAAAAATGAAATACAAAGATCAGTCTAAACTAAATCAGCTTGCAGATTTTCAGCTCAAAGAATGACCTTGGAACCTGAAAACTAATAACCGTGCATTCTGAACAAGTGCTGTTCAAACTCACTTCAGTAATATCAGGAAGAAAAATGTAGTTTTGGAAATCATTTAAAGAAATAATAGTCCTGTGTCATGCAGAAAAAAAATGACATTATTACAGGTCTTACATTTTATTTCATGGTAAAACTGCTGATGGCATTGCATCATTGAAGTCAAATTGGGAGGGGGATTCAGTGTTAAAATTCAGATGCAGATTTAAGAACAGATGCAATTACTTTTCTTTTTACTCAAGAAATATTTACAAAGCAGCTACTTTTCCAAAGGGCGAATAAGATGTAGACCAGTGGGGGAAATATTTTTCTCAGAAAAATAGATACTGTGCTGATGCATTGACTAAACTTTTATCTCAGCTGAATCAATTTATATCCCACAGTAATACCCTGTCTTCAGAAACCCCTGCTTCTATCACATTAAAAATATGTCTATCTTGGAGATCTTACTGGCTGCTATTTGAAAAGCTCCAGTTTACAAAGTTCCACTGTACATAAAATTTTATTCTGTCCTAAAAGAGAGAGATAAACAGCACTACAAGGGGTACTGAATTAATTTCCCTATCCGTTCGGGAGGTGCCACCTGACGCTTGGTGACCCCAGATACAGTAAAATTCCTGGGACAGTCTCAAATGAGCCATAGGAATATCTGAAAGGAAACGGGACAGACCCAACATTTGAAGACCTTATTTAAACTGCTTCAAGAAGCTTGGACATGCTCTTTCATGATATAAGTTTATAACCATTTTTAATAGCTACATTGAACTTCACTCGTAAACCACATTTGAGCTCAGGCTAGTTGCTGAGGAAGGAAGTTTCATTTTTTGAACCCATACGGTCATTAACAAATCCAGCAGATGTGCAACTAGCATTTTGCTTTGATCTTTCTTTCATTTCAAATTGGGGACATTTTAGTCCTCTTCAAGTCACGGAGGAACACCATGGTCAGCGTAGCGTGAAAAATGCAAGGACACTGATTTGGAAGAACTGGCTTAGGTGGAGTGTCACCATTTACTATGATTCAGACTCTCTAATCTTTATCCATAAAATGGAATCCTTCCAAGGAACAAGTAAATGAAATCATAAGTAGGCACATACTTTGTAAACTATAAAGTATTAAATAGATGTAAGATATTGTCTTGTAATTACATAACTTGGGAGATAATTTTATGTTTCATAAGAATAGTTATCTCATGTTAGATGATAAGATATTTGGCATTATAATAAGTGGAGCTAAAATTCTACTATAAAATTATGTAAAAACATTTATAAAATTATGACATTTTTGGAATCCTATACATAAAATAAAATTACATTTATTAAGATCATCAGAGTTTGAATTAAATTAGAGTAAAGGTGCTAAGTGAAATGAGCCAGTCGGGGAAAGACAAATACCATATGGCTTCACTTATATATGGAATCTAATGAACTAACAAACAAAATAGGAACAGACACACAGATTCAAAGAACAGACTGACAGCTGTCAGAAGGGAAGGGAGTTGAGGGGCTGGGTGAAAAAGGTGAAGGGATTAAGCAAAGAAGAAAAATCTCATAGACACAGACAGCCCTATGGTGATTACCAGAGGGAAAGTGGGGTGGGGGAGGCAGAGTAGGGTAAAAGGGGGGTAAATGGTGATGGAAGGAGACTTGACTTGGGGTGGTGAACACACAGTAAAATATACAGATGATGTATTTATAGAATTGTACACCTGAAACCTATATAATTTTATTAACCAATGTCAGTCCAATAAATTCAGTGAAAAAATAATAAAAATAAAAGAAATTGAGTAACAAGAAAAAATATAATTCAAGATATAAACATTCAGTTCTTAAGGAGAAAAGGAAAGTTCCCTGTCAATCTTTAATAGCTAGCAGTTTTAAAAACTCAAATTTAGCATAATAATAAAACTCCAAATTATGTTCAAATCATGCTGATATTATATGCAAATGTACAACCCAGCATTAAATGATGGTAATATTCATGGTGAGATAACTAAGAGCTAAAACAATTATTATTTCAATCTTGCCACATCTTTTCATTATTGTAAGATTTTTGGTCTTGAAGTAACAAAGTTCTATAAAATTAAACCTGTATTTTATTATAATTGGTCAATACAATTTTGATATTTATGTGTATCTTTTATTGATATGTGTTAAATTTTAGTAGAATGAAGAAAAATA